TTTTTCATGAAATATTGATAATTTTAGCGCGGTTTTCTTGAAATTTGAGTGTTTTCAATGCAAGGAAGGCGTAATAATATAAATGTATACGTGTAGAATAGGTATGGTATAGAATGTAGGCCTAATGGCCTATAGACTGGTGTTTGTATCAAGTTGTTTTCTTTTTTATACTCTGCAAAGATGATTTAGAAATGTCAAGGCTTTCGAAAAAACTATCGAATTTTTCCATGATATTTACAGAGAAACGTCACAGCTGCAAACCCCCCACCCCCAAACGAACATATGACGTTTCTCGTGGAAAAAATCGATATGTGAGGCTTCCCTTGAATGTAAATGCAATGGCGCTTTGTTTCTGCCCGCGATTTTTTGGTCAGCGACGACAAATTTCTTCAACGTTTCCCACCTATTTAGCTGCCCAGGTCAAAGAAAAGGTGACATTATTAACCCAAATCGACGAGGAATTTTAAACTTATGCGATGTGAGCGAAATCGGAGTAGAGATCGAAGAATCGGCCGAAATATCGGACAGAATATCAAAAACGTAGCGAAAAATCGACAAGCAAACAAAAGCCGCCAAAAATCACGATAATTAATATTAATACGAATGTAAACGACTCGAATTCGAACTTGAACTAGGCTACAGAACAGGGAAATACAACGAATGCAATAGAAAGTTCAACAAGCACAACCAATACGACGGTGGGAAACGAAATCGAAGAAAATACGAGTCATAATTCAATCAATAGTCAGACTTTCCCACAGCAAACAACATATACGACAACAACGCCCGGGAATTTTATGTCAAGTTTACCGAAGCTGCCAAAATTAGAACTCCCTAAATTTGGTAGTCTGCGATAGCAGATTGATCTCAGCCGATCCCTCCTGGAGCGGCGGAGGGAAACAGTCTGCGATCAATCGAGTCGACACTAATGCCGTACAGTTGCCCCCACACAACGGGGGGCGTAGTATGATTGGTTGAAATTTTCCTTTGTGATCGCTGAAAATTGTATAAATTACATTGTTATGTATAATAATTCATAGTTGCTCTGCGTCCCCAATATCTTGGACTTCACATTTTTTGAATAATTTAATTAATTATGCAAAATACTGTTTACGAAACTGTACGGCATTGATCGCAGACTGTTTCTCCGCCGCTCCAGGGGCGTTCAGCTGAGATCAATCTGCTATCGCAGACTTTAAATTTGGAGGTCAAATAACCGAATGGAACTCATTTTGGGATCTATACGACTCCGCAATTACAATACAATACAATACAATACAATACAATACAATACAATACAATACAATACAATACAATACATTACATTACAATACAATACAATACAATACAATACAATACAATACAATGCAATACAATACAATACAATACAATACAATAAAAATTTATTTATCCACGGTGGAATCTTCAGTATATATATATATATATATATATATATATATATATATATATATATATATATATATATATATATATATATATATATATATATATA